TTATTTTAGAATTCTTTTTTCACCTTTAATTTCGTTATGCTTGAAGTTGGTGAGTTTATTTTTGAGATATGGGATCTGAGAAGTCCCATGAATACTTCTTGAGTTGTGAATAAAAGAAAATTTCATGATTTGAAGGATATTCTTTTGCTTTTTATTGTTTTAGTTAAGAATCAGAAACTCTAACCTACAGTTCAAACTGAATCGTTTTCAATAATAATTTAGGGGAATATCACAAATAAAGAGGGCCCCAAACTGATTGTCACGGTCCCAAAGGTTAGAGTTGAAGCAAGAAAAAAAGAAAGAAAAAGAACGATGCCAAGGCCTAAGCTTACCGAGGCTGAAAAAACTAAAGCCAAAGAACATAGACGGGAATACCTTAAGCGTTACACACAAACGGAAATACGAAAGGAAACCCAAAGCAACACCCATTATGACAATAGGTAAAAAAAAAAAAAAAAAAAAAAAAAAAAAAAAAAAAAAAAAAAAAAAAAATAGACAACAACCATTTTGCCAATGATAGCCTTTCGGCAATCACAATTTAATTTAATTTAATTTAATTTAATTTAATTTAATTTAATTTAATTTAATTTAATTCTTACAAGAGGATGTTGAAAATTTTTGACTTTGAAAGTGGGCAGAAATACAAAAGTGGTTTGGAACTTATCTAGAAACACTCTGCATAGTTTTTAATTTTAAAGAATTTTTCGTTCAGTTATTTCACTCTAATTTATTCAGTCATGTCTTTAGCGTCCTTCGATTTAAAAGGAAGCAGTCGCTGAATGTTATTTAGGTCGTGAAAAAAAAAGTTTCAGAATTTTGTTTTCGGAATGAATACACCATTTTACTTTCATTTTTAGAGGTCAAAATTCCATGCCACATTTCCATTTTTACTTGAAACAAATATATAAGTACTTCGCACTTGATTCTATGGAAGATTCCCAACATTTTAAGACATTGCTTCAAAAGCATTTGTTTTTTATTAATAAGAAAAATACAAAAATGATAATATTAGTTATTTTATTATAGATTAATTAGAAAGCAGGACGAATAAATATTTCTTGTATCTTATTCGCCACTACCTAATTTGAAGTAAAAATCATGAAATTAAAACTTATGTGAATTATGTATGTTAAAATCAAAGCGAAAACAATTCAGATACATTTAACATACCTATATTGTTGCAACCATTTTATATTATTTTCCCTATTTAACCCTTTCGAAAGCCGTGGTAAGTATACTTACCACTAATTTTTAAAGTCCTTGTAAGAGTTTAATTAAATTGTATTTTGGATTGGTGCGAATAAAGTAAAGTTATTTATGTATTATTATTAAAATGGGTGGGTTATATAATTGGATGTATCTCTGGATATACTCATGATTAAAAATAGTTAAATGTTTGATATAATAATTAAATTAAGGCCGAAACATATAAAAGATAATTAAATTAATTGGGATGTGATCGTTAAGGAAAGTGGTAGTACAATGCTAATGTGGGATAACAATAACCCAATAGGTTCAAAGGGTCACAAAGTGTGAGGTTTAAACAAATTGGATGATTTTCTATCACCAAATTTGGAAAAGGGGCGAAAACAAAAATAAATTTAAGATTAAAGAAAAAAACGATAAAGTCATGCTATATCCAAACAATATATATGATTTAATACAGTAAGCTGATGTTTCCAATAAGAAAAACTAATAAATTCACATTTATGCATGCCCATAACAATAATTGAAAGGTACTCACCCTGTACACACAGGACATTTTAAAAGACAACCATCAAAAGAAACACACATTTTTAACTTGCGTTTAAGATTTATTTAAGAAAAATATCTAACAACATAACTAGTGGGAAGACGTCTTTAAAACAATTTTTAACATTAGGAACACCTTTAATAGAAATGGGTGACGAAAGAAATTATGTCATGCATAAAAAAAAGAAAAGCAAAAAAAGGTTTAACTATTGAAAAGACAATTATAGAAGGAAAGCTTAATTTAAGAGGGTCTTTAATGCTTAAAAAAAAGATATAATATGTAGATGTATGATTTATTGAAATTTACTACAATTAAGGATTTAAACTTTTAAAGAAAAATAAGGTTAAGAAAAAGGATGTAAAAAACTATCTCCTCGATACGGACCGAAGTCCGCATCGCGGAGAATAAAAAAAAGGAACTTGCCCGAAGGCTCAAGAAAAAGAGAATGTATTCAAAGTGACTTAAAAATTCCTTAACTGGTATAGGACCAGAAAAATTACGGCCAATTAAATTTAAAGAGGCGGAGAGTTTGAAATTTTAAAGGAAAGAGATTGGTTAGTTAGCCCCCCTAAAATTAAAAGAAGTAAAAGAAAGGCGTGAATAGAGGGGTTGGTTGACTTTCCCCACAGGATGTGCGATGACCGCATTGACCATGAGAAAGGTCACCAAGAAAGTAATAAAATTGCTAAATTGAAAAAAAGGAAAAACGTTTATAGAAAAAATTAAAGGCTTAGGTAAAATTAGAAATAAAATTGTCACATTACATTAAGTGTAAATGTGACAGTCCTTGTTAACTTTTCTACCACTTTTAATTTAGGTTTCCATTTGTTAATAACTTCAGCTTTCTTGAAATGCGTTAGAATAAAATTGGCAACCATTTTTCTGTACAAGAAAACGTATAAAAGTTATAAAATGCATAATTCCTTCTGAAGTTTGAAGCATTTATAATATTTATTTCATAAATAAAGAAAAATAAAAGCCAATAAGTTCCTAATAGGTCGTGTTAAATATACATACTTACCACCAAAATAAAAGTGGCATTAAAGTTTAAATTAATTTTCTTTAAGCTAAAAGAGTTTTAATTTTCTTATATCAATTACTATTCTTATATGAATTTCAATTCCAAAAGCTCTTTAATGTACCCTTACTCGAAATAAATGGCCTACTAAAGGATTAAATAATACCGCTAAAAATGTCACTTACCTGCTTCATCCACTAATCTTTTCAATTGTATTTAAATCAAAAAGGGGAGGAGGAACCAGTTAAAGATTCAAGTTTAGTTCAGCAGTGTTACCTAGATGAGTGAATAGCTAGCAGAAAAACTATTTCATTTCCATCTTTTTTTCGGTGAAATATTATATGCGACTAACGCTTTTTTTAACGAATTGAAATATAAATAAGTACAATGGTTCATCAAATTACCTTTGTTCAAATTTTATATAAGCAATTTGTCTTTTTGTAGAAACAAATGCTTTAGAAGATTTTACATGGCAAATTTAGAAAAATCATGCTTGAAGCTTTTAGAAATAGTGTCGCAAATGTTGGAGCAAAGTTCAAATGCAAAGTTCGGATCGACCAAAATGAGCTTTGAAAGTTATTAACTTCTTTCTATCTTTAACACTAGCAATTTCTGAAATCAATATACACCGAAGAGCCATTACATTATGACCACCCTGCTAATAATATGTAGGACCACCTTTAGCCCTCAAAACTGCTAGCACCCGCCGTAGAATTGATTCCACAAGGTGCTGATAGGTAGTCTGAGGTATCTGGTACCAAGCGCTCACCAACTGGTCCTGCAATTCCCTCACATTGCGAGGGTGTAGCGTGGCAGCACGAATTTGGTTTTCAAAGTAGGACCACAAATGCTCTATTGGATTAAGGTCAGGTGAATTTGGGGGCCAAGACATGACTTGAAAGTCACTGGAATGTTCCTCGAACCAATCCATGATGATTCGACCCTTATGACATGGTGCATTATCCTGTTGGTAAACACCATCCCCCGCAGGAAAAACTGTTGCCATGAATGGGTGAACCTGGTCTGCAACTATGTTCAAGTAGCTTACAGACGTCAGGGATTGTTCTATGAGGATTATGGGTCCTAATGTGCCCCATGAACACATTGTTCCTGGGTGAGAAACCATGAAAACCTGGGCGAGCCCATTGTTATAGATGGAGGGTGGTCTTAATGCAATGGCTCTTCGGTGTATAAGACTGCAATATTTATATAGCAATACTTTTTTAATTAAAGTGGTATTGAAAAAGAAAAAGAAAGATTTTAACTTTCTACGCTTATTTTGCTACAAATTAGTATGGATGCAAATTTTGCAAGGAAAAAATCTTCAATTTAAAAAATCATGCTAAAAGCTTCAAGTGCAAAGATCTTTTAAATGGAGTCAACAATATTGTCTAATAAAAACTTCAAAACATTTACTGCTAAAAGAAAAATTGTGTACCTAGAGTTAGTATAAAAGTGTTTCCATTATTTTTATCACCCATTATATATGAGCAGTAGTGGCTCAGGGGATAGAGCGTTCGCCTTCAAATGAGGTGAACCGGGTTTGAATCCGGGTTCACCTCATTTGAAGTCAATTAGAATTCTGCACCCGGCTCGTACTGACCACAGTGCTGACATAAAATATCCTCAATGGTAGTCGGATCATGGGTTAGAGTCCCCTTGTCGTCAGGCAAACCATGGGTAGTTTTCGTGGTTTTCCTCTTCATGTAACGCAAATGCGATTGAGTTCCATCAAAAAAACCACTGAGGCAGATTTCTCCCAATACTTGATTTAGTAGTTCCCTTGTCTTCTGGATTGGGTTCAAAATTACAAGGCTACTGAGTTGAACATTAGTTGTCGTAAACCCAAATATTGGGAGGGCTGTTCAAAGATGATTATAAAATAAAATTTTAAAATTTTTTTTTCTATATTTAATTAAAATAACGGAGAAGACAATAAAACACTTTTACTAGAAAAAAATACAAACTGAAATAGTATTTTTTAAAAATTTATACAGTTAAAATAAAAACAAATCAATTATGAAACTTAAATGAAATTAAACTCCTTACAAAATCATTAAATTAAAGGAGAATTAAATAAAATGCGAAAAAACAAATTGTGCCATTTAGAATAATACAATTGTCGCCATGAGCAACTAAAATTAAATATTTTATATTTTTTCTCTAGACTCTAATCGTTTGCTTTTTATATTATTCAGTGTTTTAATTATGTTTAAACATTTTAATTAGGTGAAGGCAGTCGGAGTGGAAGAACACACAGAATAAAACGTCAAGATGACCCAGATTTTGAGTGCCCAAGACCAGATGGCCTGTTTGCAGATCCAACGACTTGCAGAAAGTTCTACACCTGTTCATCAAATTATCCTTTCTTGCAAAACTGTCCATCTTCCCTTTACTTTGATGATGTTAAAAAGTTTTGTACAAGGAAAACAAAGCAGCTGGTTTGTGGGCCAGTTGACACACGTGAGTAATAACATCAAAGATTAAGGACTTTGCTTAAGCGATTGTAATAAAAATGAACCATAATTTTCGATTTAGAAATTTCTGACAAAATTTAGATCTTGTTTGAAAGGTTTATCAATGAGGGAACTAAACTTATTTTATGGTACAGGCACAGCAGTACACCCATTCAGCGTTTCCCAAAAGGTGTTTCGCGGAACCCTGGGGTTCAATGAGAGGACTGCAGGGGTTCCGAGTGTTATAATTTTTTTAATCAGTCATGATTATATTGATATCTGTTCAGTGTTTCGCAGTGAACTTATTGCTACTCAAACAGGTCTTGAAAATATCAGGAGTAAAGCCACTTTTGGGAATGTCTGGATCTTCACGGACAGTCGTAGCTATATTCAGCACCTGAGCAATTGGGAGAGAGTACCGGACCGGGCTGGTGTCTCTATACTTCGTTTATTAAATGCCCTCTCAGCCTCCCATGACATCCATATTCCGTGAATACCCTCACACGTGGGTCTTTTTGGAAACGAACGTGCTGATCAGGTGGCAAAAGAAGGTACTTCTCTCTCAACCTCTCCAAACACGGCCCTCACTTACTCTGAATTATTTTCTATCCACAAAACTAAAGTTAATAAAGCTTGGCTTGTTCCACCGGATCACAATTGGTATCCCCGCAAGCGTCCCGGAGGAGCTCTTGACCTTCAGGGTACACGTGCCGACCAAACCACTGCCTGTAGATTTGTCAGTGGGCATATTAAAAGCCTCACTTTCAGTGGACAAATTAAACTTTTTCCAACTTGTGAAAAGTGCAACTCCAGCAAGGCTAGTCCTCACCATCTACTTGATTGCCTGGATTTCACCATGGAAGAGGTTCTTGTGAGACCTCTCCTTTTCCTCTATTCTTTGAAGACTCTCGGCCTCTTTTTTTTTAGTAACGGCAGGCACTGAACTTTCATTCTTCGCCTTAGAAGATGCCGGAAGTGTTGCTCATTTATCGTTACCCAGTGGGCACCTGTGAACCAAAGTCACGGAGGCGAGCAACATTACCCACGCCACACTGCCACAAATACCCGTTCATAGGGTGGGCCACATTCATACATTCACACATCAGAAGACAACACAGAGAGAGAGAAACATCCATGCTCAGAGCGGGATTCGAACCCGCAGCCATTGGCTTCGCAGTCAGGCAAGCTAACCACTCGGCCACCTGGCCGGCACTCACGGCCTCATGGATCTGGTATAGCTCTGTTATCCCAGCTGGGATTGGAAACATCAACAACATATTTATATCCAAAAATCCAATATTTATATATAATATTTATTTAAATATATATATACATATATATATAAA